AAAGTTGACCTGGGGGCCCCCCCCCACTACCACCATGTGCCACGATGCTCCCACTGCACGTCAAGATATGATAGCTGTATGGTGGCTGTCTCTCTCTTCTCTCTCTCCTGCTGTCGTCAGCATGTGCACACAAGGTGGGGGCGGGTTTGTATGTAAAAGAGGAAACTCAGCAGGCTCTCTGACTTTTTAGAGCCACATACAAGCCCACAGCTTTCAACCAGTGGCCTGCCTGTCCCCACCTTGTGTGCACGAGCAGGGGCGGGAGGGGGGTACTGTACTGGGATGGGTGGGGGGCTGATCAGAGAGTATACCACTGCAGATGTTACACTTTTTTTTTCTTTAAAACATCTTTTTTCATATGTTATTAAACAGCACCCAGTTAACTCTCTCATGGCCAGGCTGTAGTGACATGGAGGTGCAGGATTTTAGGAAAAAGTAACACCCCCCTTCCTGGTAATAACACATGCCCTTCTGCACCCTATTGGTATTGACAGATGACCCCTCATTCAAGAGCCCCCCACTTAAGCTAATCACAGATGATCCCCTCCTCCTGTAAAGACAGATGACTTTCCCTCCTGGTAATGTCATATGTCTCCCTAACCCCCACCACCACATAATGACAAATTGCCCTCCTCCCCACCAGGTAATGACAGATGACCCTTCCCCTCCACCAGGTAATGACAGATGACCCCCTTCCCCCACCAGGTAATGACAGATACCCCCTCCTCCATCAGGTAATGACAGATGACCCCCACCTTCAGGTGCCCTCCTCCGAGTAATGACACATGCCCCCCCCCAAGTAATTACTGATTTCCCCCTCCCCACCATCATGGTAATGCCACATTATTCCACCCCTTTTTTGCTGGCAATGACAGATTCCCCATCCAGCTCCCCCTGTGCTCATCCTGCTCAAACTGTCACATTAAACTCTGCAGCCTCTGGAGACCACAGTCCCTTGGGGGTCCCTCATGAGTCGTTATGGGATTTTGTGAGAATTTTAGAGTGAGTACCAGCAGAAATTGTGGGAAGGGGTGGGGCGGTGTGTGTCTGTTCTCTGCACGACTCTGACCGCTGTCTTAGTACCTCCCCATTGACAGCAGTACCAGTTCCTGGATGGTGCTCTCCTCCTCCTCCCTTACTCAGCCCAGTGATAGTTCAGTGTTCATCCCTGCCTGGTTGCCAGCACTGACACTTTCCTGTTTAGCAGGGCTGGCCTCACCCTGTCCTTCCTTCTCTACTCTCCGGCTCAGGACTTGAAAATGGAGCCAAAAGCTCAGACTTTCCGCTTTGCCTGTCATAGTGGCCCCCCACAGTTGTGACCCCTGATGCTATGCCCATGGCTACAAGTATTTCTGAGTGTTCCCCCATTTTTTTTCAGCTGTATTCAACAGAATATAAAATAAATTAAAATACAAAAGGGAGAGCCATAAAAATGTAAGGGTCACATATTCAAATGACCAGAATGTAACAGTAACATGTCTTTAGGATCTATTCAATGTTTAATTTATTGTGTGATAAGTGTGGGACTGCTCACAAATCTCTTTGACAAGGGAGTCTACTGAAGAAATCTAGTTATAAATTAAAAAAACAGAATTCCAGGTAAATCTATAAAAACTCCAATCCTTTTAATTCTGCCATGTATCAAAAAGCAGAAATATCACATCTGGATGAATAGCAAAGGTTAACCACTTCAGTACCAGGCATTCCTACCCCCTTTCTGCCCAGGCCAATTATCAGCTTTCAGCGTGTGTTGCACTTTGAATGAAAATTGTCATGCAATGCTGTACCCAAACATTTTTTATAATTTTTTTTCACACGAATAAAGATTTCTTTGGCGGTAGTTAATCACCATATGGTTTGTTCTTTTTTGCTAAATAAACGAAAAAGACAGAAAATTTTGATAAAAAAAGTTTTTCTTCATTTCTGGTATAAGATTTTGCAACTAAATAATTGTTCTTCCTAAATTTAGGCCAAAAATTAATTTTTTTACATTTATTTTGTGAAAATAACCCAAATCAGAGTATATTATTTAGTCTGTAGGAAAGTCCACAAGGTATGGTATATATCTGAAAATCAATCATCCTGATGCAATGACGGCATATCTCCTTTAATGAAGCCCAAAAATATCAGGACAGTACAAATACCCCCCCAAATTACCCCTTTTGACAGTCCAAGATATTTGGTAAGGGGCATGAGGAGTTTTTTTTGTCATAATTTTTGGGAAATTTAAAAAATTTGAAAATGAAATTTACAATTTTTTTACATACTGTCAACAGTAAATAACTATTTTTTTTCAATTGTTTTTAATTTTTTTACAATCTTTTTTTAACTCACTGTGGCCAGAGCAATATAATGTTACTATAGTAACATTGTACTACTCTGGTGAAGTGATGAGGATTTTTTTTTACACATTATGATTGCTTATAGCAGTGAATTTCACTGCTACAAGCAAGCATTTTACTGAATAAATCGATTCTGTCTGTTTTGTTGTGATTAGCTGGTATTGGCCACAGCTAATCACATGGTACAGATGGGCTGTGAATGGCCCTATCTGTACCATGTAATCACTGTGACTAATCACAGCTAACAACACACAATTATAACAATAAATGGCATGATTTTAAGCCATTCATTGGTAACAATTGTCAACTGATCTGCTGTCATTGGTCAAAGTGATCACATGGTACCAGTAGTTGGCTGGTACACTAATCAGTCATCGGCAGTATCTGGTGGACATAGACGGTGACAGACTGCAGCCCCAGTCCAGCCGTTCAGCCATGCACAAGGCCACATGGCCGCACTTCATATGACGTCCACCCTGAATGATGAATGTCCTCTCTGGCCAATAGCAAATTTGTGGTTAAACACTGTCACATGACAGAGGGGTGATGTCAGTAACGTTGTGAAAGCTTCGGCAGCATTTAACCCAGAGCTTACACAGGGTAATTTCCATTGGGTGTAATGGAGGTGTTGATGAGGAATGCTGTGAAGTTGTCAGGGGGTTGGTTTTACAACAAATTTGTTGCATTGCCCAAAATGGGCACTCTTTCTTTGAATCAAATGCCTGCAATCCTGGAAAATATAATTTATTTTTATTATAGCATATGCATAATACATACCACAAATGTGAAAGCAGGAGAAATTACACCTTCATGTTCATTTACAATTATGTTTTTTTCAGTACCCAAAAAAATTACAAATTTGTAGAGAGATTTATAGAGTCAGGTGAGCTTTTAAAAGTAAAAAGAAAAAAAATTCCCCTATCAAAAACAAATACATTTATTTTAATGGAAATGATCACTGTTGCATAGATGTTTGCCTTTAATGCTCTGCAAGTCAACCTTGTGAATGACCCATTGATAGCTCATCAAAACAGATAACTTAGGGGGAGCGAAGAGAGAAATTGTAGTTGTCCTCTAGTACTGCAGGTATGGTTGTAAGCTGATCTTTTAATCATTAAATTATCTAAATAGAATGATATTGGCCTTGGCTCCATGTTCATAGAGTAAAATCTATAATTGTGTCTTAGGCAGACATATCAGATCTCAATGTATTATTCATAAAATGTTTTTATTCTTCTTGACATAGAGGGCTATTTGTTTTGGGAAATGAAGCATAACAGTAGACTGAGGACCGCTTAAAATTATATTTCTGCGGTCATAATTAGCTTTTGTAAGGCACAAATTGTAAATCAAGGATGAAGTCATGTGCTGATAAGATGAATAATGATATCTTTTTTGGGAACAGTTTTAATGCATATGGAGTCAGGGCACAGGAAGGGAAAAAGTGTCCTAAATTATGCTAGAGGATGTTACGCTCATATATATATATATATATATATATATATATATATATATATATATTCATGTATTCATGTTACAAATTTAAAAAACATGTGAATACATGCAAACCTGCAAATAAATTTCTAAATTTGTACTTTACTTTCTTCAACAATTGAATATATGCCATGCAGGTGCTTCAGGAAGAAGAGTGGTGGTTTATCTGCCCTAAGGCTACGTTCACACTAGCATTGTGTGCAGGTGGCAGAGAGCGTTTTTACCGCTTCCCAAATGCCTCGGACAATTCTGCACATTGCAGCACATGATGCTGTTCTAACGGGAGCGTTAGAGTCACGGCAAAACGAACGCCTCTGGTCGAGTCAGGAGGCGTTGAATCCTCCTATTCTAGTCTATAGTGCCGCTCCGCAAACACCTGGCCGGCGTTTGCGGCAGGGTTGCGACGCAGTTGCAGGGCGTTTACGGAGCAGTAACACCATTTAAACTTCATTATAGGCGTTTGTGGGGCGTTTTTAACGCTCGGCAAATGCCTAGCAACCTCCGATAAACCGCGCATGAGGTGTTTGCGGAGCACTTGCCGAGTGTTAAAAAACGCTCCCCAAACACCGGACCAACGCTTGCCAAACGCTATAGGGGCATTTGGCAAGCGTTGGTAAAACAGTCAAGTGTGAACAAGCCTTAACACACACCAGATTCTGGCAAAAAAAATTGTAAGTAGTTGCTGAAGATTATTTCTTGTAAGGAAAAAAATCACATCACTTTTCTCTGGTGTAAGTACCTCCTTCAACGATTCAAAATAGAAGAAAAAAAATACTGCTATGTATCCATTTACAATTTTTTACTAGCTATTTAACCACTTGCCCTCCAGAGGTTTTACCCCTCTTCCTGACCAGGCCATTTTTTGCATTACAGCACTGTGTTACTTTAACTGACAATTGTGCAGCCATGTAACACTGCACCCAAAATAAAATTTAAGTCCTTTTTTACCCAAGAATAGAGATTTCATTTGGTGGTATTTGATCGCCTGTTCTGTCATAAATTTAGGACAAAATGTATTCTGCTATATATCTTTGCTAAAAAAAATCCCAATACATGTAAATTGGTTTACGTGAAAGTTATAGCATTTACAAATGGCGGTATATATATTTTTTATTTTTACTAGTAATGGTGGCTATCAGCGACTTATAGCGGGACTGCGGGACTGCGGGACTGTGGTAGGAATTCTGACACTGGGGGAACTGACTTAGTGTCACTGACATCCCTAGTGACACCAATATAGTGATCAGTGCTAATAAAAAGCACTGACACTGTACTAATGGCAATGAGCAGGAAGGGGTTAACATGTGGGGTGATCAAAGGGTTATCTGTGTGCTGTGTGTGTTTGTGCTTCACTGTAAGCACACTGCTATGCATGGCTCTGCTATGCAAAGCCAAGCATAGCAGTGTGCAGGAGCTAACGGGAGAGAACTATATTATTTACTTACAGTTCTCTCCCTCTGTCGGTAATCCTCCTCGATCCCCGGGTGCCGGCGAGTAATCACCGGTTGGGAGCCGAAGATTGACAGCCAGGGCCATGAATAGCTTGTGCAAGCCTCCTACCTGGAAATGCAAAATCACGTGTATATATACGTGATTGTGCGCACCTGTGCTGCCCTGTATTACTGCTATAGGGCGGACAGGAAGTGGTTAATAAGGATTGCAAAAAAGTATGAAAAGTTCACTTCTAATTTAAAACAAACTTGTAGCCTTGTAATCAGTATTGATGATTAATTTCTGCTGCCTGCTCTCACTCTTCTTTAATTCACATAGGGGCCTTTTCATAACAGAAGAATACCAATATTCACTTTCTACTGAAGAGTTTACTCCACATTTTGTCTGCTTTAGAGAAGAAAGCGACTTGGAAAGATCACATGGCCAAATTATCCTCCTCCACTTTTCTCTTTTAAACACATTTTAATACATTCATTGCTTGTTTTAGGACTCCCTTGAACTTTTAGTACTATTAGTATATTTTTTATTTAGGTCAAATTTCAGTAAATAACTGCAGTAATTGGTGTTTTGGTATTTCCCCAAAAATACTGCCACCTTGTTAAAGGACAAATTAACTACAGGTGGAGTTGTAGCTGACCCCTTTCTGTGTTTCTTATCCACTACTGTAAAGTGAGGCTGCCAATTATATTCTGTAACCAATAGTCAGATAAGAGGAGTAGAAAGCAGCAGACTACAGCATGACCATGTGATCCCTTTCCTGTAATCATGCTCAACGTAAAAGAGAAGTACAGGATATGAAAAAAACAAACACACATAATCACCTAGGTGGATGCAGCATTGATCAGATACATCTTTCCCCTCTTCTACACCAAGAACTGAGCAATCAGAGCCCGCTGATCGCTCAGTTCCTGGTCTTTAGTGAGCAGAGAGTTGGTGACTGTCAGCACTCACTAGAGCTCCAGGCTCTGGAAGAGGTGGCAGTGTCTAGCTCAAGCACTCAGCGGCACATTGAAAGGCTGAGCCAGCTACCGATCAGGCATCTGGGTGGATCCCAGCATTAAAGTCTGAAATGGAGTGAATATGGGTCACAGGAGTGCACTTCTGTAAGCCCCAAGAGAAGTTGGGCCAAAAGAGCTTTGGCCCTACTTCTCTTTAATGCTGGCATCATTGCCACTTTACTATAATAATTACCTATTATAAAAAAAACTAAATCTACCAAGTGCTGTCAGTGTCTAAAGTTACTACGTAAGTCAATTTTAACTGCAAAAACCTCAAAGCTTTTCTGTGTTTTTTTTTAAGCAATTAAAATGATGAAAAATATGTAAATAAATTAGATTAAAACCTCCTACCTGTACTTCTTTGCCTTTCATGATGTGAAGCAGAAAAAAATACATGCAGTAATGCAGTGGATGCTTTGATCCTTCATGAACTCAAAATAAGTGTGGGTGACAGTCACTGGAATTGTATAATAGCGGCTCTCAATTGGCACAATAGATTTGTTAGAGTATTAAAGTGGGACTTCACTCTCTCAAATCAACACTGACTATTTTTAATCCTTATGCTTCTAGGATTAGTAAACAGATAGGAAAGTATATCATATTTACTTGTTATAAACTCTTTTTTTTCAAGTCTTCAGCTACTTCCTGGTTTCCATGCCTAGGCAAATGATGTCATACATCCCAGGAGTCTTCAGGAGGGGAGGAGGTGGTTTCCAGGAAGTACATGCTGCACCAGAATCATCTGCCCTTACTCAAGATGGTCATTGCCAGAAATGCAAGGGGGATGTTTTTCAAAATAAATTCTCAATAAAATAAAGCTTGGAGACATGGGTGAGGGAGTTTGCTTTGAATAATATACATTAATTAAATAGCATGTTTGGTTTGTGGTGTCTTGATGCAGTGCAGTTCTGTTTTAATTGATATTTTCATAGTATATATTCTATGTACTGAATGACTGAAAATAACTAGCTGTAGTAAATGACTGCCCAGTTATTCTTAATTATCTAATGGACTGAAAAGAGAAATCACACTAAATTGTGTGTGAGAATTTAGAGCCAGGAGCCTGTAGTATATTTGAGAAAAAGTGCCTTAGAAGATAAGTGAGTGAGCAGGCTCATAAATCCTTCACTATATATAGAGTTGCCAACTGCCAAAATTGAAATTTCAAGCATAAGTAAAAGTTGAATAGAGAAGAAACAATACTGCAGTACTAACAAAGTTGGCTTAACACATGTTTAGTTATATGATGTGTCTATTTTTTATAATTTCAAAGGATTTCAGCAATAGCAAACATATGTTTAAATAAAGGCAAACATATTGCACCAATATATTATGTTCACATTTCAATGCAGAAAGCCTTTTTTGTTTTACAAAATTGTTTTAAATTACCTTAATTCTCCTTTGATTTGGTGGGTCTGGTTTACTTACAGGAAAGCTGTGCTTTTTATAGTTACCCTTAAATTTGAAATGACCCTCCCTTTTTACGCTACAAGTCTTTACTTAACTGACCTTTTTCCTCTGAGAGCTGTGTGGCCCTCTAGGAACTGTGCTGCCACAACTACAGAAGTCTTACTTTGCACATGCGTGAAAGTATCCCCTTTCATTTCAGTGGAAAGGACATCTGTTCTGCTGTATATCTCAATATCTCATTTAAAGATAACTATACCAAATGTTTATTTAAGTTGGCCATATATGCACTGAAATTCTATCCAAGTATGGCAGTTCCTATTCACGAGAGGTTAATTTATTGATCAATCTTTCATGAACTGCTGGAACTTGGCTACAGCACTGATCAGTGTATTCTGGTGGCAGGGGATTCCAGCAAGACACAGCAAGGAGGATTTCCCCATCAACCTTGAATGTGTGGATGGGGAAGTTGGCTCCGTTTTTTTTTTTTCATTCAGCTTGCTGGCTCGCTGAAGGAAAAAAAGTGAGTAATGTATGGCCAGCTTTACCTTCTAAGTCCGTTTTGCTTTATCAGTTTGGGAATACAGTGTTCTTGATCCCTCTCTAGCAAATCAACATACATAAACACACTGTATGTAGCGTATAATGACCATGTTCAATAAAAAAATCTTTGGCATATAGATTAACATGGGTGATTAACAAAAAGTTAAAACTGGTGTATTCTGTCTAATATTGTATTAAGATTTTATTTAAAAAAAAAAATTAAAATAATAAAAAAGAATTATGCGGAATGGAAAATGAAAAATACATTGTAACAGATAAATTTTGTGCATTAATACAAAAATAAATACTTTTACTTCCAATTTTGTAAATATATATATATTGATTAATCTATATTGATAAATATATATATGATTAACAAGACATAATAAATGTACAAACAGAAATTAGAGATATTAAAATAGAAATATGTCGAATGGAAAATACATTGCAACAGATACATTGTGTGTATTAATACAAAAATAAATGCTTTTAATTCCAATTTTGAAAACATATATATACTAAATTCATTCATGTATATATATACACAGCTCAAAAAAATTAAAGGAACACTTTTTAATCAAAGTGTAGCATTAAGTCAGTTAAACTCCTCGGATATTGATCTGCTCAGTTAAGTAGCAGTGGGGGTTGTTAATCAGTTCCACCTGCTATGGTTGTTGATGAAATTAACAACAGGTGCACTAGATGGGCAACAATGAGATGATCCCCAAAACAGAAATGGTTTTACATGTGGAGGCAGCTGCCATTTTTTTCCCTACTCATCTTTTCTGACTATATTTCACTAGTTTTGCATTTGGCTAGGGTCAGTGTTGCTGCTGGTAGCATAATGCGATACCTGGAGGTTGCACAGGCAGTCCAACTCCTCCAGGATGGCACATCAATATGTGCCATTGCCAGAAGGTTTGCTGTGTCACCCAGCACAGTCTCAAGAGCATGGAGGAGATTCCAGGAGACAGGCAGTTTACTCTACGAGAGCTGGACAGGGCCTTAAAATGTCCTTGACCCATCAGCAGGACCAGTATCTGCTCCTTTGTGCAAGGAGGAACAGGATGAGCACTGCCAGAGCCCTACAAAATGACCTCCAGCAGGCCACTGGTGTGAATGTCTCTGGCCAAACAATCAGAAAAACAGACTTCATGAGGGTGGCCTGAGGGCCCGACATCCTCTAGTGGGCCCTGTACTCACTACCCGGCACCATAGAGCTTGATTGGCATTTGCCATTGAATACCAGAATTGGCAGGTCCACCACTGGTGCTTTTCACAGATGAGAGCAGGTTCACCCTGAGCACGTGACATATGTGAAAGGGTTTGGAAAAGCAGTGGAGAACATTATGCTGCCTGTAACATCATTTAGCATGACCGTTTTGGTGGTGGGTCAGTGATGGTCAGGGGAGGCATATCCATGGAGGGATGCACAGAGCTCTACATGCTAGACAATGGCACCCTGTCTGTCATTAGGTATTGGAATCCTTGGACCCATTGTCAGACCCTACGCTGGTGCAGTGGGTCCTGCGTTCCTCCTGGTGCACAACAAAGCCTGGCCTCATGTGGCGAAAGTATGCAAGCAGTTCCTGGAGGATGAAGGAATTAATACCATTGAATGGCCCCCATGCTTGCCTGATTTAAATCCAATAGAACACCTCTGGGATATCATGTTTCGGTCCATCCAACGCTGCCAGGTGGCACCTCAGACTATCCAGGAGCTCAGTGATGCCCTAGTCTAGATCTGGGAGGAAATACCCCAGGACACCATCAATCATCTCATTAGCAGCAAGCTCCAACGTTGTCAGGCATGCATACAAGCACATGTGGGCCATACAAACTACTGAGTACCATTTTGAGTTGCTGCAATGACAATTCAGCAAAATGGACTAGCCTGCTGCATCATTTTTTCACTTTGATTTTCATGGTGTCTTTGAATTCAGTCCTCTGTAGGTTGATAATTTTCATTTTCCTTTTCATTTCCATCAAACTATAGGGTATCCTCACGTTCCTAACACATTACCCAGTCCATATCAGTATAGATATCCATCATGATATTTTTCCCCATTGAGATCTGATGTGTTCCTTTAATTTTTTTGAGCAGTGTATATAAATAGTCAGATATAATAAAAATAAGTTTAATATATGTTTTTATTAGTTTCCACTAAAACATAACT